TCAATTGAAATACCTCCAACGCACGGTGAGCACAATTGTAAACGGAATGTTTTTGATTCCCACACGCGCCAAGTTCCCCCAATCTCAACAAACACACTTCACGCACATCTTTTCGATTAGTTCACCGTGGCAAAAACGGACAGTAATAATTAAATGTCCAATTACAAAGTTTATAGCTATATTTGAAATTGTATTACGTACACTTTAAAATAATTATTCTTATGTTAAGAATCTTATTTATCAATTGACTTTGTCACCAGCTACCTTGAGTTTAAAAGTATGCTTTAGTTTGAAGAACTAATCAGCAAAATTTTATTATCACGACAAAAACTGAACAGAGCTATTTCGGACAAGAAGAAAATGTCATTATAGCCAGGAATTAGAAGCCTTTTGTTAAACGTTGCGTATCCGAATCTACTGGCACAAAGCTAACAGGGGGTAAAACATTTTAATGTAATATCGTGAACCAATGACATTTTAACTACGTGGTTATATTTAGTTACCGGTTCTCTACTTCTATGAAGTATATAATAACAGTAACATTAGAATCTAATGCATGAGTTAATTTTAATAATATGAATTATATATAGCAGTGATCATTATTTTGAAGTTAGGTTAGGCACTACTGTTCTTTTTACCCAATACTTTTTTCAGCACAAGTATTTTAGCGTTTAGTTTGTTTTTAATTGAAATTGAATACACCACTCTTTTTTATTATGCTGCCTTTGACTGAATTGTAGCCTGTAGATGACCATGCAGAATCTCGCCATAATGAAGCTAAGCTTTGAAAACACAACAGCTCCATCAAGCTATGTCATCGACATGGGGACAGTATCCAATGAATCTCTACTCGACAATATCTCCACGACTTCTTGGATGGGTTGTGAATGGCTCCCGCCAAATCATGTGTTCTTTCAAATGGCCAACGTTTGCCTTCTACTTTCGTACTTGGCGCCAAATGGAATATATGGCTTGTTGTTCTTGAGGACTGTTCTTTGCATAGCGTCGATATTTTTTTCAGTTTGGGGATGGGACGTGCTGTGTGCTTTTGACACTTTCCTATGGAACTTCTTCCTAGCTATAATCAACTTTGTACAAGCAGTGCTCATTATCTATCACCTTCGACCACTTTCTTTTCCACCAGAGATTGAATTGATGTATGAGCAGTTATTTAAACCCCTGAAAGTGCCAAGGCATCTTTTCAAAAAAGCAGTGGATCTCCATGATGGCATATTCAGTGTAAATAAAGGGGAACTATTTGCCACAGAAGGGTCAACTAAAACTAGTGGATTGTCTCTCCTCATCTCTGGGAGGCAAGTGCATTTTGGATGGCATTTAAATTTGAGAAAAAATCAGTTTTTTTTTCAAACTGGGTACTAATTGTAATTATTTATAGTATTGTATAATTACATACTGGTATGCCACCCAGATTCAGAAGGCAATAAAATCAGCACTGTTAACTTAAGTAAATGCCTTTTCTCTATACTTCCTCACTTTCTTGTTTCAGAATGTCAGTATCAATAACAGGCAAGTTTGCTCATGAAATCAGTGAATTTCAGTTCCTTGACTCTCCTGAGTATGTGTCTTTCACTGAGCATGATTGCTTTAAGGTACTTGGTTGCATGAAAATTCATTCACTATTATGTTCCTCTTACTTATACAATGTATTTCATTATGTGTACACAGGGTGAAAAACTTTCTACTAGTGTATGAACTTGACTAAATTTTGTTGTGCTCTGTTTGTGCTAGTTGGAGAATAACATAGTCTCAGTTACTTATAATTTTAACCATTATTTACACAGTATTAATATTCCAGCATGCAGTAACTCATTTAGAAATTGATAGATAAGTAGTGATAAAAGTATTAATTTGGTTGAAGTACATGTATGTACAATGAAAAGGGGGGGGAAATGTACCATTATT